CACGCTGGGGGTCAAACCCCAGTCACTGTTCCTGCCTAAGAAGGCGCTTTAGTCCACTGAGCTATCTGGCTGGCCCTGGAATTTCTAAGGTCTAGTTCAGTACTTGATAACTGAATGACTAGTCTAACAAATAATTGAAAAGAGCACACAATCAAAGGAGGAAAATAATGAGTTCAAGGTCTTGTAGGTTCAGCGATTCCCAGTTCAAAGTCTAATGTGACTATAAGAGACTAGAGTCACTGAAATTAAGCAAAAACCCTCAGAGATCAAGTAATCCTTGTGTCATTACATTTTTTTTCAGATTTTTATCAGTACATGTACATAATGTGCACATTCCTTGTAAGGAGTAGGCACATGTACATAATACATCTTAATTTTTTCTTCATCCCCTTTTCCTTCTTTCCTATTCCCCTCTACCCATCTCAAACTCCCCTCTGCCCTGTACATGTTTGCAGTATATTTATATTACCTTTGTGGAGTTAGCTCATGCAAATAACATTTTAATTCTTTTTTTATTCCCCCCCCCATCATTTGATCCTCTTCTTTGAGAAAAATCTATTTCCTTATTTCCTATTATGTTATCTTTTATTTTGCTCTTTATACTTTGGGATTCTTTAGCGAAAAAGCAACATAGAAAGGAAACACATGAACTAAGAGTCAGAATTAGAAAACTGACAAATTTTCTTAGAAAAAATAGGAGAAACAGAATAATGCATTGGTCTGTAGAGTAACAGTGACTTGTTTAAGGGTATGATCATCAAGGTGATCAAGAGGGGTCTACTGAAGGAAAGAGTAGGAGTGAAAAAATACCAAATGATGGAAAGCTTGAGCTGGAAAAGTAGAGAGAGAAAAAGCCTAAAAGTGTAAGACCACAGATGGGCTAACTGCTATCCCCTTATACATACAGTATTCATATGTTGCAATGCTAGGGACAGGCACAGCTAAGTGCTTGCCTGGTTCTGCCAATCAGTATACCATATGTACAGATAAAGTGGAACTGCCTCAAGAGACACAAGGGGAAATTTGGAAAAACAAAAATTAGCAACAGATAGAAAGTGGTATTTAAGAAATCAGAGACAGAGAAAGCAAGGCAGAAGCTATATTTGGGAAATCCTCTCATAAGAAATTAAGGTTTTTGTTTTTAAGCTATTATGAACCATCAGAAGTTTTAAGCACTTTGGTGACAGTAGATCAAATAAATTAAAAGAAAGGATAACTAGTGAGCAGTGGCAAGTTTAGGACTGAGTCTTAAAATTTATTTATTCAGTCACACAAATATTTAAGAAATGTATGATATAGGCCCAATTTTGTGACAAATACAGAAAAATTCAAATGAAAAAGATAGCCTTGTGGGCCTCATGTTCATCAGCATGGATAAAGAACACATACAGAATGACTTCTAAGTAGTGTGATGAACTAAGGAAATACTGTATACACAAGACAGTACAGAAAAGGAGTATTTAACTCTGAAAAGCAGCCCCTTGATATCTTAAATTTTTTTTTAGACTTTTGAGATTTGAGATACTTATATGGGCTTCAAAAGAAGATGAATAAGAATGTATTCATCTTTAGAATTTGTAGCTCAACAGAGGATAGCAATCAATACTTAACACTGTGCTTACTACATGCTAGTCAATGCCCAAAGTGCTTTACATATATATTAATTCAAGTAGTACTTACAAAAACCTTAAAGACATGTTCTATTATTATTTTCATTTTATAAGAAAAAAAGAAACTCAGGAACCAAAATAAAGGAATTCACTCACAGGTTAGTAAGCAGTGAAACCAGGATTTGAATCTAAGCACATTTCTTTGAGATAGATTTGGCATATGATGGTAACTGATGAACTGAGTGTAAATAAAGTTCCTCTAAACAAAGGGTACAGACTGAGAGCAAGCCTAACAATGGACGCCAATGGAAAAAAAGTGATAGCTTCAAATAAAACAGTTGACTAAAATAAAGTCCAAAAAGTCTTACCTACTTGACAATGAGGTTAATATAAATCACTGTTGAACAACTTAAAGGACTGTTGGAGGAAAAAAAAAAAAAAAAAAAGGTGGGGGGCATAGAAATAATGGAAGGTAAAGTAGCTCAGCATACATATCAACTACTCTAACAAAATTTTGGCTATGAAGAGAACAAATACCAAGTTACAGAGAGAAGCAAGAGAGATTGCCTCTAATAAGAGTTTTTTCCTTTTTCTCCACTTGAAAAAGCCATGAACATATCAGTAGAACACAGGCACTAAAAGAGAAGGAAGAGAGATTGAGGCTATTAGGGAAAAAAAGATCACTGATTAAGTTTCTAGAGAAGAGAAAATATGGGAGCAGCTGTGACTGTGACAGTGTGCAATGGAGAAGTTGAGAGTTCATGCATAGAGGCCTCTCTTCTTTGCAAACAGAAGGTGAGGCTCACAGAGTAACAGACAACTCTAGTTTGTGAAACAGTCACTAAGCAATAGGAGAATAAACATATCAAGGACCAACAATTATAGCTGCTGAAATAGAAACCCATACCCAAAGGGTATGAAAGTTTTAAAAAGGCATGCATATATGGGGCATCAATCTTTTTGGTTAAGAGGATTTTTTTTTTCCTTACTGTGTATAATGATTCAGGGAGGAGAGTAAAAGTGGTGCAAATTATAACTAATATAGGACTTGAAGTTTGCAGAATAGTTATAGGATGTCAGGTTGGAGAGCAGGCTGGTAATTACATCACGAGGGAAGTCAGAAGAGGATTTGACAACCAGAAGAAAAAAGCACATCAACAACAACAACAACAACAAAAATATATATATATATATATATATATATGTATATATATATATATATGAACAAAGAATAGGTTTAGATGGAAAAGTGTTGGAGAGCTAAGAACAAGAATAAAAGTATCTGAATAAACATGGAAAACAGGATCCCTGAAGGCAAAATGATTAACATCCGCTGAGGTTCAAGTACTGGCTGAATTGTATGGGTTAAGAAGAGAAATCTGTGAATTGGGTGATAAGCTTATGTGCGAAGGACCCAAGAAAAAGTCAAGACAAGGGGGAGAATGAATTGAATACTGAGGCCTCAAAGGTGACTTTGTCTGAAGGTTAAAAACTGACCTTTGGAAACAGCACTGAAAAGCTAGGAGAGCAGTGATTTCTCCCTTCCAGCCTTGAAAAACGGATGAGAAAAGAGAAGGAAGTGGGAGAACACACAAACCCCACTGGAAGGACTGCCAGAGGAGTGGTATCACTGGCAAAGTGCCAAGCTTTGGTTAAGGCCAGGAGGGTAGGGAACATTGTGTGAAGAGGAACAGGGGCTCCAGAAGGCAGAGTAAAAGGGTGGGAGGAAAGCTGTAGGAGGATGAACAAAGAGAGAAAGTACAGAGCAATATGGGAACAAGATTATGAAAACAGGAAGCCAGAAAGATTTACATTTTGGTCAGTACAAAAAAAGTGTGGGATAAAAGAAATCCTAGGACCAATTAGTGGTAGAAAGCTTTAGGATCAGAACTTTGGAACAAAGCAGTTCTGGTAATGGTACTGGTCCAAACATTCTGAATGTAATTTCTAAGTTACATATTTTGGAAAAATAACAGATTCTTACCCAGTGAGACCAGGTTTCCGTAATTCTCCATCATGACATCTTTATAGAGACTTCTCTGAGCTGGGTCCAGATAATCCCACTCCTCCTGGGTAAAAAACACAGCCACATCCTCAAATGTCAGCAAGCCCTGAAATAGTATGATTTCTGTAGTCAGCTTCCTGTTGTCTCAAGGACAGATCTATCACTGAAAGTTGCAAAAGCAATCAAGTATCATAGCCAAGTGCACTAGATGATACACAACTAAGGCTATAAAAGATGCCCAATTCTGGGAACTGACTTGACAGACAGATACCTCAGAGTAAAGAGTAATGGGGCTGGAGCATTGTACTTGTAAGTGAAAAGCATAATCATAAGTATAAGGCTTTTTTACTTTGGTAATTACACATTAATATTTTAATGTTAGTAAACTGCCCCAAGGCCTCTCCAAGTTTCCTTACCTCACTGCCCTGCTCCACTTCTCTATTCGCACTGACTTGTGCCCCTATTTAAATTCTATTCCACCAGGTTCTCTAAACATCTTTTGGGGTCCAGGCACAATGCCAGAAGCAGAACACACAAGGAAAGGTCAAAAGCAGTGCCTTACCTGGAAGAACTCACAAAGGAGATAGCTATCCTGGAACACACCTAGTTTTTACCAGGTGACCAATCAAGCTGTACTTGAAAAAAGGAGCCAGTGGGCAATGTGTAAGTAAACCATATCCAAACACTTTGCAGAGTGCAGGGAACCAGGGGGTGGGGTAGAGGGAGCCAGTGCGGGGTGGGGAGTGTTGTGTGAGGAGTAATGGTGCAGCCTAGCCAGGGCAGTGGGAAGATAACAGATAACGGGGCTCCCCAGAAACGGATACTTACCTTTGGCTCCAGCGGGGAACTCGGGGAAGCCATCTCCCGCCCTGAGAACTGGAGAGCCGTAAAGAAAGGAGGCCTTTCTGGTTAGGCCTAGCTGGCTGCAAGGAATTAGGCCCCACGAAGATGAGGCTCCCTGGCCGAGTCCTGCCAGGTCCTGCCTCAGTCCCACAGCGGTCACGTTCCCAGGAGCATATCAGGCGCGCTCCCAGACTGCACCCTTCCCTGAAGCCCCTCCCGTGTTGGGTAGCTCAGTCTTTCAGGCAGGGCTCTCCAGAGCCTCCTCCGGGTTACCACTGCCTCCTTACAGCCAAGTAGCGCTAGGTTCGCCCGCCCCCGGACCAGAAGGCGTCACCCGGAACCTTCCCGAGATACCCCTAAACTACAACTCCCACCGTGCCTTGCGAGCATGCCATGGCCCAGAAGCAGCCGGAAATAACTACTGGACTACATTTCCCGGCGTGCAAAAAGGTAACAACCGGAAAAAGGAGAAACCAGCAACAAGCTTGCGCCGGATTGGCTGATCTGGGCCAGTCACCCAGGGTCTGAGAGGAGTTCTGGCACCCGCTTCTCCTTGAACATGGCGGCGCTCTTTGTATCTGTCCTTGTAGGAAAGTGTCGGCCGGGGATGGTCGCAGGGGCGGCGCGTAGAGAGTTTTGGTCTCGATTCAGGTAAAGCTGAAAGTTGGACGTTGTGTATTGGTCGACAAAAGTAAGGAAAGAAATTGGGGGTGGATGAAGGGATGAGTTTCGAAGGGAGAAGGTTCCATGCCGAATAAAGACAAAGTGGGTTAAAATTCCACATTCGAAAGTTCAGGGCCCGTCTCAGGGAGGAGTGGAGGCCCGTCGGTTTCCCTCTCCGTCTGTTTTCTCATAATGGAAGTCCAGTCGCCGTTCCTTTTTACCTCATTTGTTTCATAAGCAAACACTTGAACCACTTGTGCGATGCACCATGCATGTTGGTTTGGTAGGATGAGCTTAAAGCTTTGCACGTCAAAGTGGTTGGTAAGCTAAACTCTTAAAAGCGTGTTTTTTTCACAAAGAGATCCAGAAATGAGAGCAGGTTCCAATTTTGTGTGTTCGTTGACTTAGTGATATATTGATCAGTTAATTGTTAGAAACCTGCCCTAGCCTGGGAGTTCTCTAACATGTAGTGTAGGATGCAGCAACAGAAGCAACCATTGTTCAGTCCTTAAGTATTCTGACGTATGAAGAAAGACCCACAGAAGCAAGTAGTTTTTTGAAATCACTAAGTTAAACTGCCTCGTGGATTTGTTGAAGGTAAATATCTGTTTGACGTACATAATGTTTAGGGCCACAGATCATCTGGTATAACCACAGGGAACAGTGACCTCTTAAGGTTTAAAAATTTGTCTTAACAGTCTTGAAAGATTTTCATCATCAGCCTCAACAATACTCTTTCTCTATTCTTTGGTCAGTGTTATAATCTGTCAAATCTCCCAGTTTGTTTCCTTCATTCTCTCAACAAATATTCTTAATGCCCACTATATTCAGGCTATGTTCTAGGTGTTAAGGATACAGTGGTTAAATAATCCAAAATTTGTCCTCATTAAGCAGGTGTTCTAGCAGATGAAAAATTGAACAAATGTAGAATATTTTCAAGTAATAAATTAAGAAAACTAGGGCGAATAGAAGGAATTATGCCCCACCCCTGAGGTATAATCCAGGGTCTGTTTTGTGCTAGGCAAGCAATCTACCACTGAACTACATTCACAACTCATTTTAAAATTTTATTTTGACACAGGTCTTGCTGAATGGCCTAGGCTGGCCTGCAACTGATAGATATTCTATCTCAGCCTTCTCAGTAGCTGACTGAGATTATAGGCACCACTTCACCCAGCCCTAGTTATTTTTTGAAATAAGGACACTTTAGTAGCTGGGTGTGGTGGCCCACAGCAGTAATCCCAGCACTCAAGACTGAGGGTGGAGAACCTTTGTGAGTTTGAGACCATCCTGGGTTACAAAGTGAGCTCAAGGCTATCTGAACTGCAGAGCCAGACCTTGTCTTAAAAAGACAAAAAAAAAAAAAAAAAAAAAAGGTAGGAAAATTTCAAGTATCTTTTAGTGAAGTAGGTAATACTGATGCTGATAATCACCAAAACGTTAGATCTCTAGAACTTACTTAACATAAGTGAAACTTTATCATTCAGCATTTGCCCCTCTCTCCCAACCATAAGTGTTTTCTGTGCTTCTGTTAGATTTTTTGAGCATCCTCATATAAGTGAAATCATTTAGTACTTTTTTGGGGTCTTATTTCAAGCAGTGTAGTGCTCTCTAGGTTCATCTATATTGTTGTGAATGACAGGATTCTTATTCTTAAGGTTGAATAATATTTCATTGTGACTAAAATTTCTTTATTTTCAGGGTATACTTTGGAGCATTTCCATTCCTTTGCTATTATGAATGATATTACACTGAACTTGGAAATGCAAATATGAAACACTGATTTCATTTACATTGAATATATACTTTTAAAAAAGTGTTAGATTATATGATTGCATTACTTTTAATTTGTTTTTAGGAGCACCCATATTTCCATAATAGCTGTACCAACAATGTATAGTGGTACCTGTTGTCTGTTATGGGTTGATGCCGAAAGAAACAACCTGAAGACCTGATGAATATAGCTTTAGAGGTCTCATTGAGATTAGTCTCTCTCAAGTGAGTCCAGAGCCTCAGAAGCATCTCACATTTATTGTGGCCTAAAGGCAGGCTAAGGAATGTGCATAATTACTTAAGTGAACACAAACAACTATCTCTTTTGACTTTCACCATTTGCCTAACACTAGGTTCACACAAATGCTAGCCAATAACATCCCAATCTAGGGACCAAAGAAAGGGGTGCCAGAAGGAGAAGCTGTTATCTGCAGCCTTGAATCCCAGATTTTTGGAATTTGCAAGTGAGAGACAACAGCTCTCCTTGGGCTCTGTCTATTGCTCCCTGCTCTTCTTGGGACATTAGGCTTTTTCTCATATCTATATTTCTACAGGTACCTTTTCTACTTTTCATCTTAAACTCTTTAATAATGGACATTCTATACTAGGTATGAGGTACTATCTTACAGTAGTTTTAATTTATTTTTCCATAATCTTTAGTGATGTTGAGCACCTATCCCTTTTTGGTCATGTATATATATGTCTTTGGAAATAAGTCCATTTAAGTCCTTTGTTCATTTTTAAACAAGGTTTTGTTTTTGCTATTTAAGTTCTTTAAATGTTTTAGTTGTTATTGGGTACAAGGTATGATCAGTTATATAGTCAAATACTTTCTTCCAGTGTGTAAGTTGCCTTTTCATTTTATTGGTTGTTTAATGTATAGAAGATTTATTTTAGTTTTTGTTGCTTGCTTTTGGTGTCATACCTAAAAAAACCATTGCCAATTCCAATGCCAGTTTTTCCAGTGTTTTCTTAGAGTTTTTTTTTAATTTTTATTTTATTTTATTGAGAAACAAATATCAGTGAGACACTTTCCAAGCTGATTAATAGGACATTTTCAATAATTAATACATTGCACATTGTTATCCTCTCAGCGGTCATCCACAGCACAAGAATCAGCCAGGACATCCTGTCCAAACACTACTACTACAAGTCCTTCCTCTCACTGAACCAAGCGGAAGTAGCTGTACATCTGTCCTAACTATCCTGTATATACAAATACAAAATGGTCCTTCCTGTGTATCCCCCCTCTCCAGTTTAGTCCTGTTAGAAATGGGTATTCTATTGGCATCTAAATGTTATGGGTGCTTAAATTCAGCAAAACAATCCAAAACAGTCTAGTAGTCCACAATAGTAGGGGGTTATCTGCAGAAGTTGTTGACTAGAGCCTTTTACAGCTCAGCATATTAATATGGCTTTACATTATATACCTCGTTTTTATACTTTTCTGCTGGATGGTTAAGACCAAGATAAAGCAAGATCTATATAACAAGAAATGTAACTTTTGTATCTGATAAGGTCAGTCAAGTTCCCTCAGGATTTATCCTGTAACCTTGTACTGTACTTTGTAGATCTTTTGTCAGTGTCAGCCATGTGGATGAATCATGGCCAGTGCTTGACCAATTTGCTCTCTGTGAAAGCCTGAGAGAGAGTTTTCTCTCCATGTGACTCTCCTTAGGTACACTATACATCATCGATCCCATTACTCTGTGGCTCCATAATCTCCTTGATCAGAAAATTTGGGACACAACTGAGTTACATGATGTTAGAGTACGGGTTCTCCTATGTCCTGAGTCTTCACTGACCTTGATAGCCTAGGGCTGATATTGGCGGACCTTGTAGCCCTTCCTTTTCTCCAATTTTTGATCTGCAAACTTAGGATGTTAACCCTCCAGAAGAGCAGCTTATTATTACCCTGCAACATATACAGTTCAGTTTACCCTGTCTGTTTAAATATCGAACATCTTAGGAAGAACATGGAACGGGTATTTTCCATCAAATATTGATATGTTGAACTTTAAGTCCTTACAGAATATGAAGAAAAAAATTTTAAAAATAGGAATAAACACATATTTTTACACAGAAATTTAGAAATCTAACCATATATAGCATTGTACCAAGACAGTCCTGTGACATTTTTTTTTCTTTTTCTTGTGTAGTTTTTGTTTTTCATTTATTACCCATTTAAAAATAAAAAAAAACAAAAAACCTTTTACTTGTGAGACAGTATAGTAATAATTGGTTTGTCATGACATGAAATATGTATTTAGAAGACCAGAATGACAGGCATTCCAAGTGTGACCCTTCTATTACACATTGCTATCTTCAGTGCAGTTACTTGGTTCACAGGTATCAGCATATATAGTTAGTCAGGTTGAGAATCCTACCAGTTAACTGCTAGTTTCAAAAACCTCCTGATGTTTCTTAGGATCATTGCCTTGCCCATCTTGTGCATACAAGTATATGGCTTTGTCCATGTCCTGTTTCCCAGCTTTCTCCTTGCCCTCCCCTCATTATCCAGTCCTCAAGTTCTTGCTTTCGTTTTACTTGTGTTATACCTTTCTATTTGTATTTCTTCTTTTGTTTTCTTATGCTAGGGAGACTATACAATATTTACACATGTGGGTCTGGCTTATTGCACTTACAAGTGTATCTTCAAGTGGCATCCAATTAAATATAAATGCTTCAAGTTTATCATTCTTTATAGCTGAGTAATACTCCATTATATAAAAATACTACATCTTTTTCAACCATTCCTTGGTTGGTGTATCTTGGTTGTTTCTAAGATTTGACTATCACACATTATGCTGCTATAAACATCAGTACACATATATCATTATGATACGATGTTTTCAGTTCCTCCAGGAAAATTCCTACTAGGGGGATAGCTGGCTTGAATGACATTTCTTTACCCATTTCTTCTAGGGTATACAGTTTGTTGGCATATAGTTATTACAATGATCCTTTTAATAGTCTATATTTGTGAGATGTCATCCTTTCTGATTTTACTTAGTTTATTCTTTTCTTTTTGTCCCTTTATCTAAGAATTTTCCAGTTTTTACTTATATTTGTAATAAACCAACTATTAGTTGTATTGATCTTTCTTTTTTTTTCTTTTATCTGTTGGATTTATATTTGCTCTGATTTTTTTTTTCCAGCTCCAAAGCTACTGAAATGCTTTTTTTTTTTTTTTTTTGCGGAACCAGGGATTGAACTCAGGCGCTTGCGCTTGCCAGGAAAGCACTTATTCCACTGAGCCATCTCCCTGGTCCCTGAAATGCTTTAATAACCCAGCCTTCAAGTGCATCTCAAGCCCTTAAACAAGGCCAAGGGCCCAGCTGCCAGCCCACAGTTCAAGTCAGCACCCTGCAGGGCAGTGGTCACAGCAGACATTGTTGATGGCTGCGATACTGTGACTGGTGGAAGTCGATGGGCCTTAGCCAGATCTCCAGAGACTTAGCTGTCTCTTGGTTCTGGCCCTTGCATCCTTGTGGCTGCCTGGGCTCTGATTTTTATTATTTTCTTTGTTCTGTTAAGTTTTGGCTTAGTTCCTAGTTCCTATAGCTTAATATTAGGTTTACGAAGTCTTACTTTTATAATAGGTCTTTATTGCTATAAATTTCACCTTAGTACAGCTTTTCAGGCATCCCATGAATTTTGACATACTTCATTTTCTTTTTTTAAAAATTTATTTATTTTACATTTAGTGTGTGTGTGTGTGTGTGTGTGTGTGGCCAGCTCAGCCCACCAGGGAGCGGGGCTGGCTGGCATGTGGTGCTGGGGGATCGAACCACGGTCCCTGTGCTTTGCCAAGCTTGTTCCAAGTAGGTGCTCTAGACCACTGAGTCATCTCACCAGCCCGACATACTTCATTTTCATTTGTCTCAAAATACTTTGAGTTACTTTTTTTTTTTTTTATAGCAAAGTGTGTACAGGGTGTTCAGGGTCTCACGACTAGATCAGACTCATAGTGATCTGCCTATTTATAGCCTCCCAAGAGCTGGGATTATAGGCACGCACCACCACTCCCAGTCTCATTTGCTGTCTTTGCGCGCCTCAGGGGTGGGGCTGGCATGGCAGGCCCGGGGATCGAACCTCAGCCCCTATGCCTGCCTGCCAAGTGCTTAAGCCCCTGATCTATTTGGGCAGCCCACTTTGAGTTACTTTCTGATTTTCTCTTTGGTGGGGTGGTTCAAGAGTATGCTGCTTAGTTTCCATTTATTTACTAATACTTTTGTTTTCTTAGTTTTCTATTTTACTGACTTCTAGTTTTATTTTGTTGTGGTCAGAGACGATAGTGGATATGATTTTGATCTTTTTAAATTTATTATTTTTTTTGTGACCTAACATTATTTGTCCTACAAAATATGTGTGTTGGAGAAGAATGCATATTCTTTTGCTATTGTGCAGTAAGTTCTCTATGTGTCTGTTAGGTCTGTTTGGTATGTGGCATTATTCCAGTTCACTTCCTCTTTGTAGATTTTCTGTCTGGATGTTCTGTTATTGAAAATGGGTTATTGAATTCTCCCATTATTTTATTGCAGTCATTTTTTCCTTTTAGATCTGTGAGTATTTGTTATATATGCTTAGGTGTGCTCATGTTGGAGTCAAGTGTCTTCTTCCTAAAGTGAACACTTAATCATTATATGATGACCTTTGTGTTTAGAGATTTTTACTTAAAAGTTTATCTGATATAACTAGGCTGGCTTTCTTTGGGTTTCCATTTTCATGGAAAGTTCTTTTTTTTTTTTTTTTTTTAATATATATTTAGCACAGGGTCTACAGGGTCTCACTGCACAGAACAGACTCTTAGTGATCCTCCTGTTTTCAGCCTCCCAAGCACTGGGATTATAGGTTCATGCCACCACGCCCAGTCTCAATGGCAGTCTCAGCACAGCCTGGGGGCGGGGGTGGGGCCAGCATGGCAGGCTGGGGATCGAACCCCAGTCCCTGTGTCCTGCCTAAGCAGATGCTTTATTCTGCTGAGCTATCTGGCCAGCCCTGGTTTTCTTTTAGATGTTTTATGTTTAGATCTTAGCTTTTAATTTAGCCACCTTTTATCTTTCAATTTGGGTACTTAGGCCATTTACATAAATTGCATTTCATTTTGACTGTGGTGTGATATGATTGGAGTAATTTGAGGAGAATATGAAAGGTGAGGAGGTAGATGTTTTGGGGTTCTTGGGGGGGTAGCAGGAATTGAACTTGGGACCTTGTGATTGCCAGGCAAGTACTTATGCCCCTGAGCCATCTCAGCAGTCCTGGTGAGGAAGTAGAATCTAAACATAGACAGCTCTTGAGAATTTTGGAAAGATGAATAGTAATTAGCAGAAATATGGAATCTTGGTTGAATTTTTTTCTCTGAAGATGGGAGTTAGTACAGCATATTTCCCTTTCACTAAGTTAGTAGTGACTTAGTCTGTTTCCTATTGCTATAACAAAAGACCCAAAACTGAGTAATTTGTAATGAATAAACGTTCATTTGGCTCATACTTCTGGAAACTGATAAATCCCAAGGGCATGGCACTGACTGCTTTGCATCTGTAAAGGCCCTGTTCTCTCATAGCATGGCTGAAGGTGTTACCTAGTGCATATCTAGTTTGAGTTTCTCTTCCTCTAATGCATTCAGGAGATGCCTGCCCTCATTACCTATCTAATCTTGATTGCCTCCCAAAGATAATCAACTCTAAATACCATAACATAAATTTAAAGAGTAAGTTCCAAGACATGAACTTTGGGGGCTACCCAAATCATAGGAAATAGATGGTGAAAAGTTGGTAAACAGTTGATGCAGAAAAAGGCATTAATTTCTCGAAGAACATCATTTAAGTTGTCAACCAGGCACCATTTTGAAAACTGCATTCTTGGCCATGTCCCAGGCTGGCTCTGAGAGTTTCAATTTTAGACCATTTTGCTGTAGTGGGCTCACCAACTGCCATGGAGAAAAGAGAATTTTTAGGACACATCAGAAAGAGGCATAAATAGAATTTATTAGGCAAAGATAGAGTATAAGATACACTCGAAAGGGGAGTGCAGGTGCTTAGAAATGAGACACTATAGTTTGGAACTGAGTATGTTTAACACCTTTTTTAGAAGGGTGAAAAGGTAGGGGGAAAATGCTAACCCCCAGTCCATTTTTAAGGCACTTACTTTTTGTGTGTGGCCCGCTCAGCCTGCCCTGGGGGTGGGGCTGGCGCAGCATGTGGTGCCAGGACTAAATCACAGTCCCTGCACTAGGCAAGTGCTTTAGATCACTGAGCTATTTTGACCCTGCCCCCCCCCTTTTTTTTTTAAGGCAAAGGCATTTTGTAAAAAAAAAAAAAGTGATTTAAATGTTCTCAAAATACAATTTAAAAAAAAGATTCAATCAACATTTAGTTTATTTTTCTTAATTGGGCCAATTATGGCCTTCTGTTCATAGGTTTGATAGAGAACAAGTGTAAATCTGACCAAGGACTGTTGATGCTGAGGTAGTCCTTATCTCAGGGCCAGGCCTTTATTCCTTATTTTTTTTTTTTTTTCCCCCGGAACCGGGGATTGAACTCAGGCCCTTGCACTTGCCAGGGAAGCGCTTATTCCACTGAGCCATCTCCCCAGCCCCTATTCCTTATTTTATAAATCGAGCCAATTTATGACCTTTTAATGATGGGTCTGGTAGACTCAGACGGAAAGCTAGCCAAGGACTATGGTGCAGAACTGTCTTAGATAACTTTGGCTAACTCCTGGAAATTATAGTCTCTTTGCAAAGCATAATTTTTAGTTAGGATTTCCCTGTCTCCTTTTTACTTATCTTTTATTTTAATCTCATCTGAGTTTGAAGCCAGCTAAGGTTATAGCTCAATGCATGATCACCATACAGGAAACCCTTTGGATTCCCACACTACAAAATGACAAAAGTTGGGTGTGGTGGCTCACCCCAGCACTCTGGAGGCTAAGGCAAGAAGATTCTTGGTTTGAGGTCAGCCTGGGTTATGTAGTAAGACCCTGTCTCGAAAACAACAAACATTTGAATAGACAATCCATTACCATGCGTCAAAAATCAAAATGTTGGGGGCCTGTCCATTAGCTCAGTTGTTTAAGTGCCTGCTCATGCAAATACAGTCAGGCACAGGATACCGTGGTTCAATCCCCACCTCTACCTGCCTTACCAGACCCACCCTTAAGGCAGCCTGAGCCAGCCCCCCAAAAAAATAAATAAAAAAGTTAAATCTCAGTGGATCTTTTTCTTTTCAGAAATAGAAAAATTGATCCTAGGGGCTGGGGAGATAGCTCAGTAGACTAAGCGCCTCCCTAGTAAGCGTAAGGGCCTAAGTTCAATCCCCGGTTCTGCAAAAAAAAAAAAAAGGCGCTTATCCCACTGAGATATCTCCCCGGCCCCAGATTTCCATAGGTGAAAATAAAAGATGAGCACAATAAAAGATGAGCACATACACATGTATATAACTTGAACTAGTTCATAGTGTCAGGAAAGTGGAAGTGTGTTTGGGCAACAAAATGTATTTTAATTTGAGTAAGATCTGTAGTGCATAGGTATTAATGGGAGGTAAAGTTAAGAGGTAAATTGAGGTAATACCTTGGAGGAGTAGGAATCCCAGACAGAACTTACCTTATTTGCTTCACCCATTCTTAGAAATATTTAGAATATATAAAAATGTACTTAAGGTAGTTTGTGCCAAATTATTCAACTATAAAACGTTGCAAGGGTAGAAACCTGTATTATTTTTTGCTTCCATAGTATTATAAAGTATTGAGTATACAAATTATTTATTGATTTCAATTAGTAGGCAACATTTAGTGGTGTTTAGTTTCATTAATTCACTGAAGCAAAGATTCATATATTTGTTTTTTATTATTCCAGGAAAGCGAAAGAACCAGTGGTGGCTAAGACTGAAGAAGTGAAAAAAGAACCTATTCTGGTTTGTCCACCTTTACGAAGCCGAGCGTACATGCCACCTGAAGATCTCCAGAGTCGTTTGGAATCTCATATTAAAGAAATTTTTGGTTCATCTCTTCCCAATAATTGGCAAGACATCTCCCTAGAAGATTGTCGTATGAAGTTCAGTCTCTTGGCACAGTTAGCTGATGACTTGGGCCACGCAGTACCTAACTCCAGGCTTTCGCAAATGTGCAGCGTCAAAGATGTTCTTGATTTCTACAGTGTTCCTGTTCAAGAAAGTTCTAAATTTGATGAACTTACTGCTAGTAATTTGCCTCCCAATGTGAAAATCACTTGGGGTTACTAATCAATTCAGAAGATTAACATAGTGAAATCATTTTTGTTTTCCTGATGAAAAGGCAGCTTATTACATCTTCTAGTACTTTACCTGTCAGAATTGTGTAAATCCTTTTTTGTATAGAAATACCAAAAAAAAAAAAACCTCATGTTTTTTAACTGTCATATCACGAATCAACAAAGAAATAACAAGATTTTCTCATTTCACATTTGCCGAAGCTATATTTTATTGGAATCAAGTTAAATAATTTATAGAAGTTTTTTTGCTTCAGAGACTACCAGTTAAGTTGCTTTTAAGATAGGAAGGCCTCACAAGTTCAGATGTTTGTCTTTGTAGATATAAAGCAGTAATTGCAAGAAACTTCAATCCTGTTGGAACTCGATGGATTTATCATACATGTACGTCACAGATGCAGATAAAGAAACTTATATTAGATATTAATAAATAAGTCTTTTGAATATGATTGAAAGTTGTTTTCATGTTTACTACATAACTACAAATGGTAGGAAATACGTTCTTCTACACCCAGACTTAATTGCCTTCTCAGCACACCCTGGGGGTGGGGCCAGCACGGTAGGCCCGGGGATCAAACCCCTGGCCCCTCCACTGAGCTATTTGGCTGGCCCTACAAGAAATACTTTTAAAATTAGACTGTGTAGTAGCTATTAAGGGCTATGACTCCTTAAAAATAAGAGATAACGAAATAGGGCACATTTTATATTTAATTATGTATTTCTCTAAAAGAGAATGCTTTTGTCTATAACTTTAGAAGTGGCCATATAGAAGCTATGAGTATCCATGAGGGGAAAATCTTAATTCATGGAAACTACTCAAATAGAAATTCAAATGATTCTCAATAACTAAATGGTTACGTTAATTGTTTTTCAGATTTTAGATATGGGTAATGAGACAGGAAAACAATTTTTTACATTCTTTTAACTTTACTGACAGTTCTGAAAGATAAGTGATAGGTTTTGAAAAAAGGAAATTACATTTATTCTCTTACCAGAGGTGAGTTACTTGAGAGGGAAGAAAATCAGTTGAGTGTATAACTTGGAACATATTTGATAGGAAAATTAGCAATGTAGTCATGCCCTGTAAAGTCACAGCAGGCATCACATTCAAGAACTTGAGAAGGGTCATTGTGTGGAGCACTTGAATTTAGACATCACTGCTGATAAAATGCCTCTTTTGCTTTTACTCTGTGAAGGGTTAGCATATACAGGCTTTGATCGTTGTTTCCCATGAATAGCAAGAGGAAAACAGATGGAGAAGTCAGTGTGGAAACACTTGGTTACAACTGGAGAAGTTCTGTAACTGCAAAAGCCAGGCTTAGTGTAACAAGATAGGAATCACCTTTGTAAGTCTAGAGCAGCAGAGTTTCTCAAAATGTATGTCTATAGAAATCTCTTGGAAATCTTTACATGCAGATTCTAACGTGGATTTGGAATTGATTCTGATTAAACCTCATAGGTAGTGCTGGTAATACCTTGAATAACATGGCTGTAGAACTGGTATTGAAGTGGGAGGATACCCCACTCCTGAAACAGTAGTTCTGGTAAATTTAGCCAACTAGAAAGATAAACTACAACCATCAGTAACTCAAGAGGAAATCATTGGCTTAGTCTATTTTTTTGAGAGCAAAAAGCTAGGTTTGTTAACTTGTTGCCTGATGTATAATAATAGGTCACATTTTAAAAACAATTACTGCTGTATGAAAGGAATATCATTTACTTTGTTGAAACTTCTATAAGCTCACTTATATATGCTCACATAAAACCTAGAATTATTAAGGAATTCATGTCAATAGAAATGGTTTTGCATAAATAACATGTTTAGTTAAGAGATTTTTCTCTGTTTTTAACTGTTAACATTTTCCTGGTTATTTAATTCTTTTTAGAAAACTAGGAGAGATGGGAAAAGAAAAAATATCCCAGTACTCACGATATTCATTAACATTCTGCCATACTTCCAAATGAAAAAGAATTATTTCTTGTATTTTGTAATTAGTATGGCATCATTTTCTCCTAGATTTAGTCTCTAAGAGAAATAACTTTGGCTAGTGGCATACATATTGTTCCATAATTTGATATTGTGCAGTTATCCAGTCTTATTGAATAAATTGGTTCTTTTTTGTTTTGCTTTTTTTTTCTTCCTAGTTTTTCTATTCTATAGGACTGGTTGGCCTAAAACTTCCTCCTATTAAGAAATTACATAACCTTGAGCTGCTCAGTTCTGTAAAAATTTATACTCTAAACAGTAGACAGTTTGATCCGCTTCTTTGACTTGTAATTTCATTAATAAATGTTCTGTTTCACAAAGCAATAAATGACTTCAGGATGCATTGACTCATTCTTATCTGCAGTTTTTGTAACTAATTCCATTGTTTGAGACAAGGAAAGACACAGCAACAGAGGTGGTAGAGATGGTGGAGGGTGTGGTTTATTAGAACCAAGAAAAACCCTAAGTACAGGGCAGTGGTGATACCCAGCAAGCTCCTGACTTTGGAAGTTCATAATAGAGCTCCTTAGCGGGCAGAGAGGAGCAAAGGACGTCCAAAAGTGCAGGCTTGTTGCTGTTGTGCTACCACTTCTCCAGGTTTCCTATCACCAGCAGATTCTGTTTGTTCTTTGTCTGTTGCATTCATTTTTCTTGAGGGTTTTTTCACCTTGTTTATATTTATTTTGTTTAGGCTTTTGCTCTTTGTCACTGGATTGGTCTCAAACACTCCTCCCATCCAACAGTGATAACGTAAAACTCTTCAGAATCAGACTGCCTCACTTAGCATCTGAGCACCACCCTGTGCTAAACTATATGATACCTGGCAAGTTTTTAACTGGGTACCTCGGTGTCTACCTAAGGAACACTAGTTCAAAGACTTATGCAGATACTAAAATCTCCAAGTGCCAAAGTCCCCTACATAAAATAGAATAGGATTTGCACTTAACCTATACACCTCCTTCTATATACTTTAAATTGTCATTAAGGAACTTACAATACCTCAGGCAACATAAATGCCATGTAGAACATCGTCAGTGTATTATTAGGACAACAATGACAAAAACAAGGTTGCATGTGTTCATTGTAGAGACAGGTTTGTTTTAGTTATTTTCAGTCTATGCTTTATGTTTGGTCAAAACTGAAATGTGAAGCATACAACTTTAAAGCTACAGATGGTGATACAAACAGTTTCCAACCCACATTCTTGCTGACTTTTATTCAAGACTTCGAGTCAGGGGTGCTGGCTGCTGCCCTGCCAGCACACATTCTCACCAAAAATCAGCAAGTGATGGACACCTCCACACTCCTAACCACAGATAAGGTCACCACTATTGACAGGGAAGGTGTGTGAGGGTAAATAAATAAGATATATCATGTACAGGTACAGGTCCCTGTGACGAGTGTGATTATTATGTACATCTAAATGTGCTATTTCTCCTATTTTAGATTGACAAATGCAGCATCACAGGGTGGGGAATAGATACTGCATCTCTAGGAGATTATCTAATTTTTTAAAAAAATCTTTATTTAAAAATTTTTATTGATAAGCATAAACTTTTTTAGTTTTATCCATAAGACAGGGCTCTATGCTTTAAAGGATAATTTTAGGAATTTAAAGATTTTTGTTAAATTTGTATAGCTGTCACTTGCTTTTTTGCCTTTGAACTACAACAGCAGCTAGTTGCAAGTGTAGCTACAGACTGTCAGCAGGGGTCAGCATAGGACTTGGAATCCCTTTGCATATCTGAAATTTATTGTTAATTTTGTGTTTCTGTTTGGCTATAGTTTTTAGTCATATTTAAGACCAGCTAAAGTGAGATCTGTGTTAATTAAAATTAACTTCTTGCTAGCATCTTTGTCCTCAGTACATAGCTATTTTAATTTTTTTTTAATAGATCGGAAGGCAGGCCAAAGGAATACGAAACAGTAAGTTTTTGTATCTCAGGATGGGTGACATCAAGGGACTCAGGGTTAAAAGGTCTGGAAATGTCACTTAGAATCTATAAATTATATGCTTTGTATATCAGTTATATATGTATAAAATTTTACCTCCGCAAACAACTTTAGTGAGGAAATCACTATAATATATATTGTAGCATTGCATTTTAGGCATGTATATTGGGAAACAATGCATTTAATATACTGTGAGATTGAAGTAATTACTGTAACAACTGTATGTAGAAATCTTTGTGTATATTTAGCTTTTACATTTAAGGGAATATTTATTCTTAGTGGCATATGTAGCTTTTTTCCCATTCTACCCTCTTCAGCCTCTCCTGCCCTCCCCATTTAAAGTTTTGTTTCCATGTTGTCCTTCTTTTCTTTCTTTCTTTCTTTCTTTCTTTCTTTCTTTCTTTCTTTCTTTCTTTCTTTCTTTCTTTCTATCTTTCTTTCTCTTTCTTTCTTTTTCTTTTCTTTTCTTTTCTTTTCTTTTTTCTTTTTTTGCTTTTCCTTTCCCCTTTCTTGTTCTCCCCATTTGAACATTTTTCTCCTATTTCAAAATACATTTTGATTTTTATGGGAAAATTTAGATTTTTAAAACAAATTTATAGAATGTAACTGTATGACAAAAATTTCAATATGCTGGCCAGGTGGAGGCATAATAATGTTAGGTTTTTAACTAAACACAGATTAGTCAAACGTATTTTAGGCATGACTAGCTAGCGCAGAGATCTCTTGTAATAAGCTCACACCAGTAAGAGTTGAAAGGGAGAGAGATGGTTGGGGGGATGCTCTAATACTACAAATATGACTATTTAAAGGAGAATTGGATGATTATCTTATTTTGAACTGGAGTCATTACAGTAAATTACTTCTTTGATTGCTGATTCCCTCTATTAAGCTGACTACAGTGAACTGCTTTTCCTCGCTGTTCCTCTATTAAAAGGCCTGCAGTAGGCTTTTTGTTAGAGGAAGCAAGCAGCCCACAGGACAATGTGTAATTAGAAGGCTCTTTCAGAGTTTTAGCATTTAAGGGGTAGTAAGAGGTTAGGAGCTAAGGGTGCCACCCCTGTATTGTTTCTTATTCTGTTTTTCTGTCTCTGTTCATGATACCAAGAGTGGATCACTGCTCTTTCGGCAGGCTGACAGTTGCATTTAGTGTCAGTGCATTGTCCTGAAGGGGTGTCCAGGGCCTGAGCTTGTAGTGAATAGATGGATTTGGATTGAATAAATTTTCCCAAGAGTGACAGCCTTCGTAATGTTATTCCTTACCCCAGCCTCCGGGAGAAAGAAATGGGGTGTCCAGTGGCATTTGTTTAG